TGCTATCTTAATCTCCTTACTCAGAGACAATGAGAGAGAGAGAGAGAGAGAGAGAGAGAGAGACAGAGAGAGAGAGAGAGAGAGAGAGAGAGAGAGAGAGAGAGAGAGAGAGAGAGAGAAGCCCAAATACACATTGTCTTTTTCTCTGTAATGATTTTTCCAATTTAGTCTTTGGTGCAGAAATGTTCTGATGTGCAGATTATCTCTGAAGTAGTAAATGCTATACATGAGTAGAAATGTGAGATAGGATAAGAAAATCAGATATGAATGAATGAAAATGTTCCTGTCTGGTCTTTTACACGACCCACACCTCATGGACTTATTCAGACACATCAACTAACAACAAATCACACACACACACACTGCATCCCAGCCTTCATGTAGATATCAACCGCTCTTACATTTGCACGTTTCTCCTCACTCCTGCTGCTTCCATGGGTTCTTTGAAGCTTACAGTACAGTTTGTTTTGGCGTGCAGCCAGCTTGAATGACATTTTATCTGTTCAATATTTGAGGTCTTCCTCTCTGAGAAGTACAGTAGCAGCGAGGATCTACAGCAGATCTAACTGTCATTTCAGTCACTCCTCTATGGATCTCCCAATGATTTCAATGTACTGCTCAATTACTGTAAGCGTTTTATATCAGTACATGAAGATGTCTTAGACTTCACTAAACCATACGGAGGTTAGGACAATTACTACAAGTAACAACGGGACAAGTTTTTTTTATCAGTGGGAGGCATTTATGCTTAGGTTGCAATTGTATTCTTTAAGGTTAAAGTATCATAAACATCTAACCTAACCCCAGTTTCTTAATTCAACCTGATGTTTTCATGTTCATCATTAAACCCTATAGTAGAACAGAAACATGCTGTTTGAACACACTTCCAGTCTAAAAAACCTATCTTTTACAAGGCACATAAAGCTGAGTCTTATACAGTATATATATTTATTTTGGTTCTACAAGAGAATAATTCCAGGATATAAACTCACTGCACATTTTCTAATAGTGTTTTTTTTTGTTCGGATTCTCAAGTGGCAAAGTTTAATACTAAATCTGTGTTTTTTTGTTTTTCTCCAAAAAAAAAGAAACATTTTCTCAGCTGCTTAAAGCCCGAGAGACCCCGGTACTGGGGGCCTCCTGTAACATCTTGCAGGAAACAGTTTCTGAGGGCATGTTCATTTAATAAACTATGAATGTTTTATATCCATGTAACGGAAAGAAACTCATCTAACTGATCTTTTTTTTTTTAAATAAAAAAAAAAAACACAGTGCTACTGTAACGCTGAGCCTCTGAATTAGCAACGAGCGAAAAATGCTAACAGATGACTGCACCGAAATCCACTCACAAAACCTTATTATTTATCTTTGCTGCACATCTCAACCCATCGTTTCACATCGTGAGGGGACACAGAATCGAGGGGTATCCTTCATTATCACTCAATTATACGAACTCTCGGAGATAATAACAAGAACACACATCAAAACATATGGAGCTAGGTAGCTAGAAACGGCAAAATGGCTAACCTGTGTGGTAGTCTGGTCAAAAGTGCTCTTCAATGGCATTAAAACGATAAAAACGATGCTGAAGTTAATCCATAGGTTAATCCAATGTGTCTGTGTCACTTTGAATGATTTCTGATAATCCATGAGCAATAAATCTGCTTTTCGGTTTTGAGATGTCAGACGTAGAGACAGCTTCACTCTGGAGCAAAACTGCGTGCGCGAAGCCCCCACCTTTTTGTTTTACCATGTGTGTGTGCGGGGAGATTCCCCTTGGATTCTATTGGCTCTAACGGTCAGAAAGAGATGTCAATCACCAAAATCGACCAATGGGTTCCAGAGAAACGGTAAAACCCTAAAAACCTCCCATTTCCATTTTTTTTTGCTAAACCTCTCTAAAAAGGTCAAATGTCACTTGTTTTGCATCAATCTTGATACAGGGTACTTATTATATGTTGTACTTTGGATTCCTAAAGCTTTTAGTCTACCTTACCATCATCCAAGGGTAGTTTTCACTGTAATTAAAACATTTTTTTGGACGGACACTATAATTTACAGTTTTTTTACTATGTTCAATCTGAATTTTCTTTAAAATCAAAAACAGCTATATTTATTCTGACTTTTCTACATCCGACTCACAGGTTTATCATTACTTTGAGAAAAAAGATGATTAATTTAACCCTTTTAGAAGGGAAGATATGGTCATTTGTTCTGGGAATGTCATTTTCGAGCCTGAGACCTGAAAAACAGGCTCAGGGCTAGACTGGTTAACAAATCAAACAGGAAAGACGCGAATCTGCCAATAATTAGTTGCTTTAATATATATTTTTAATGCAAACATAATCTGCATCTCTGCATTTATCTAAGACCTCGTGTGGTGACTAAACTCCCAATGAGTAAAGTCACTCAGAGGCTAAACTCGGCTCATCACTTTAATGTGTTTCAAGAAGAGTTCGTACTGAAGTTAGTGTTGTTTCATGAGGTTTCATAAAGACAGAAAACACAAATAATCCCCTTAGCAGGACTATACGGTCAGAATAAAAAAAATCTCCCTCTTTGTCATCCATACAAGCCCAGCACACAACAGGTGCACGAAATACCTTACACCACACCATGTGATAATTGCCTGAAGTGTCAAATTCTATTAACAGAAATAATAGGTAACGGCAAAATAAGTATTTTGGCTCCTGCACCCCGTCCAGAGTTCAGTTTGTCCTCTGGAGAAACGCAGAGCTCCAGGCCGGCCAGCTGGTTGCCGGCGCCTCCATGTCTCTGATTATTTCACTTCAGGGATGGACTCCATCTCCCCAATCAGACGCTCCTTTGCTAATGCAATGCCCTGGTGCGGGCAGAAAGAGCTGTGTAAACGCTTTTGAGCGGGAAAGGAGTCACCTTCAGGTAGCACACCAGAGAACGTAGCTTCACTTGTCCAGCCATCCTCCCATCATCCTTGTCCTCCACCTTCCTTCACACACTCTGAGCTCCGTAGTCACATTAATGGACTGGGATGACTTCTAGAGAACTCAGGAAGAGATGGAGGGAGGATTAAAGAGGTGGGGTAGAGAGTTTGAATAAAAGACTGAACATGAGAAGATACATTTTTAACATTTTTGAAGACAGCGTTACAAAAGATAGGAAATTCACAGTAAAACAGTGCTGTAGCTCAGTTTTTTCTTTATGAAAAGGGAGTTTCTTCCAAAGGAACTGCTCTGTGCTTCATAGCCGAACCCTTTATTTCACTATCACAAAATGTGCCCTCTGAATTATAAGATTTGGGTTGCAAACAATGAATATTTTCAGCACAAATGATATGACATTTTCTGATTGATTTTGTCTATAAACTGTAGGAAAGTTGTACAAAATAACAATGCAAACTAGGGATGTATTCAAAGTGTCTGTTTGTTTCCAACCCTCCACCTAAAACTAAAAAACAACTTTTATATAAAATAGAGAAGCATTAAAATCCCGCATTTGAGGAACAAAGATACAAGATAAGGCTTAAAAGATGGGACTGTCCTAAAAACTATGATTTGAAAATGTATTTGTTTTAAAATTCCCAATTAACTTTGCTTTTTAAAACTTGTTCTGTTGTAAAATACAATCTTCAGTCACTTTTAAATCCTGTGGTGTCTGGATAGCTGAACCATCTTAACGATCACATTTAAGGGATAATGAATAAATATCTGAATTATTTGAAAACAGTTAAATCTGTGACTTTTACCTTGAGTAATTCAAAGTCAGAACGCCAAAAAGTCAGTTGATACAGTAATTCATATTACTCCCTCATGTTTGCATCTCTTAAGTAGATATTTCACCTGCGCTAGCTGAACATTGTTTAATAATTCCGCGGGGGCGTTTTGTTCTGTTGGCTGCGTGACATTGGCCTGCAGGAGAGGCGGTGCTGTGCGAGCAGATGTCTTCACCATGCCATGTGTAAACAGAAAGCCATGCATGGGCATAATTCAGCCCCGGGAGATTTATTCCCTCCTCCTCTCTTATTCCCTCATCGTTTTTGACATTCTCTGTCAGCACATTTTCTCTACTGAATCCTGAATTTCAGCCATAGGTGCTTTTAATTGTCAAGTACTGGATGTGATAATGATCATGCATATCTGCTGGTTTCGTTCACAAGAGCTCCTTTGTCCTTGCTTGTGTTTTGATATCATGAGCAATTGAGGTGAATTTTAAAACCAGGTCTCTTTATTTTTGTTCAACTCCATAACGTTTTGACATTAAATCCTCTGCACACATTAGCTTGCGGCTCGAGGGATGACAATGACTATTTAGATGATGGATTGCCAGGAAATCCTGTACAGATATTCCTGTTCCCCAGATGATAATTCTAGCTAAGTTTACTCATGTACCCTCACTCCCTTCTTTACTGGTACTGTAGTCTCTCCTCCCCGAGCTCTCTCTCTGTCTTCCCACTTCTTTATTATATAGTCTATTTAAGCTACGTCTTTTGAGCTTGAGGACAGGTCCATCATAACTATTGGGCCATAACAAGGACATGTGGTGTATTCTGTCACACATCTATCAAAGTCACCAGTGTCAGGCAGTGAAGTGTGCACTCACTTGGAAGAGGGTGGGGGAGTAAATGAGAGCCGGGGGGAAACTATTCTCAGGTTGGGCTTGAACAGTGAACACAGTCTGGACCATCATTCATACCAGATACTCTCTTTAATCAACACGAAATAGGGAAATTCTCCTCTATATTTATTCTTCCCTAAATATATTCATGTTCTGAACATTAGCCAGAGAGGTTTTGGAGAACACATAGCTGCTGTCTTAATAACATCCACTGGAAACCTTTGTGTCGGTTCAGAAAGTGAAGCATACTGAGGGAGAGGGGGGATTGTTTTCGGTCTAGGGCAAGTCTTCAGGTTTAGGCCAACATTTGCTTATATTTCAACAATGATTTGCTGTCTTCCTAAGGGTTTGATGATAAGGTTTATACCACCTTTACTGCAGTTGTGACAAAGTTAGTAGCAAAAGGACTTGAGGCAAGACTGACTATTTCCAAGGTAAAAAATAAACGGAAAAACAAAGGCTCAACAATTAGCATGCTATATCAAAGACAAATGTTATCTGTAAACAAACTGAATAAATAGAAAGACAACAATTTATGCATTTTAGAGGTAGAAAATGCTGGAATAATTTACGTCAGTATTCTCCACCAAGGAATTGTGGAATTGTACATCTTCTACCCCAACAGCTGTTTTCAAAATACAGAAATAACAACAATAATATTTATAAACTTTTTGTACAAATCATAAGTATAAAAAGAAACCTTGTTGTTAAAGAAATGACTAGTTGACTAGCCAATCAATGATTATTGAGTTACTCCACAGTATAACAGTAAACAAAGCAAGTATACTAATGCTCAGGACAATTGTTTTGCATTTTCTGTAAATTGGTAGTGTCTAACTATATATTTCTTAACGATGAAGGCAACCTAAGATACTGTCTGTGTGCACCAGTTTTAGCTAGTTGTTGTTTTAGGTCTCTTATGAGTCAGGTATCATCCCTGAGACTCCTGGAAGCTGCAAACAGTTTTTGCTTCCTGCTGTAGCTCGAAAGAAATGTGAGAAGTTGTAGAAGTTACACAACGTGACTCTTAACAGCAAATGTTTTTTACATTTCTGTTTGTGTATGCCACGTACATTATGTAATTGCTAATGCTAATTATTTGTATATTGAGGAGACACAGTTGAAGAGACTAAGCTGCAGGAGTGTGCAGTCTGCTCTCTCAGGCTTCACTAACTGTATCTGTTGTTCTCTGATAACTGTACTGCTGTTCTGCTCTGTGAACCTTAATTATACACAACTAAAGCGTTTACTTTCAGCACTCCAGCAAATATGCATATGAACATATTAACGGCATACACTGCATAGTGACATCCTGAATCAACACCTCCCTAAATTCAGTTGTAGAGATCCAAACGCCTAACTTGCCTTGAGTCTGCACTTGGCTCCAAACAAACTAAAGGGGAGAGGATCTGACGTATAAAGAAAAAAAGGTATCATAAATGTTTAGTTTACAACCGCCCAAAAAGCGGACTATAACTACCAAAGCAAAAACTAAAAGGTTAAATAAAGAAAGCTTATTTCTGACAACAAATGAGTGAAACCGAAGTACAAAAGGCAAATTAAAGCAAGATATTTTAGTCAATACAAATTAACGAGGTTGGGAGCAGCAGAGCGGAGGGAGCGGGTGGAAGTGTGTCTGGAGGAGGTCAGTAATTTAGGATAGGGCCAGGTTATGGAGTGCTTTGTATGTCATCAGGAGGATTTTGTACTTATTAAAGTCATTTGCAAGTGTGAATATGACATTGCCAATGGTACATACATAAGTATTTTTAAAGTATTGTGGCAATTTAACAACGTTTTAGGAAGTAGAAAACTATTTAAGATTAGAAAAATATTGAGTTTGACTCGCTGGGCCTCTCTAAGGACTTGTTGTGATGTTAAAATGCAGCAGACGGAGCCGACGGTCGGTCACCAGAGAGAGCATTCCTGACTTTGGGATGCAAGTGTGTGTCTTGAGTGCCAGATTGACGCAGAGGGCTGTGCCGCCTCCTGGCTATGACACAGAGGGCGTTAATTACCATGTCTTTGAGGGGACAATTTAATCGCTGGGACACATGGCACATAAACCTGAGCGCCCCAGGAGGGATCCGCTGCAGCACTTCCTCACAATTAAAGGCAGGACAATTCTGGAGAAGGGACCGTAAATGACAAGGTAACTCTTTTAGATGTTAAAGCTTAACAGGGAAGCATTTAATCAGTGTTTGCGTCCTACAGCCGTACATTCAGAGGTCACAGGAACAAAATGTGGAAACAATCCAGAAGACAACTGTGGAAAACCTACTGTGCCGAGTGCCGACCAGCTCCACATTGAGGATAATGAGACACGATACAAAACGCAATGGACAGATAATACCGATGCCTGAAACAGCATGGTGCTCTATCAATTAATAAGCCAGAGGAACAATTATAATGTCATAAGGCAAAATGTCAAGTCATTAAAACTATTAAAAAGAAAAATTGTTTTTTCACGCTTCAAAGACTATTTTTGCAAAAAAACATAATGTAAATAATAAACCAAAACCTAAATGTGATTTTTTTTTATATAAAACTTTAAAATACCTTAATATATGTATAATGTATTAAGCTGCGACGCCCACTTACGTGCATTTAGGGCAATTTCTGTGGTTTCAGACAGAGGGGAGTATAGACTGTTTTAACAGTTGAATAATGTTTTCTGTGCCGCTTTGGCGGAGCTTTGTCAAGTCTGAGAAAATGTAACTCAACGGATCCATTTGGACACAATTGGCTCTGGATTGGAGATTTTGAATTAAAAAGCAAAAAAAGCTTGCATTTCTCCTGCTTGAAGTGCGGTCTGAAAGACATGCCAGTAAGGGAGGGTCTAGAAATGCTTTTCAGGTGCATTCTGGGAGGTGTAGGCTCCAGTGTTTTTGGAGCGTGACTGATACTACTGCAGTGAATAAAATAAAGACATCCTAGTCTCTGCTGCATCAATATCAACACATTGTCCTGAATCAAGTCCCTAAGCTTTATGGATTTGCAGTACCAAATGGCTGCATGCAGAAACATGCCACACGTTGAGAAAGATGTGCTTATTGGATTCAAAGTGTTTTGTTGATTTGTCTTTATTTTTCCAAATAACACACACTGATCAAATCAATGCACAGATTTAATTTCACTAATTGTCATTCCTCTCTCTCTCTGCTGCAGGGAGAGCGTCAGGACTCGGACCTCCACGAGGAAAGAAACGCCCAGGCGCAGTTGGAAAAGGCCCAGGTACTTCCTCTCAGTTGCATCATGGGAACCCACCATACTCAAAGACTTGCTATTTAGAGCGGCAGCTTTTAAGGACATTGTTAAATCAGAGACAGGAAACACATTCTTCAGGACATAAGATTAGCGGAACAATATTATTCTATGAAAATGAGTCATTGCAGTGTTCATCCTCATCCTTTATTTACTGGATGCCTGGGGGGGAATGATAATAAGGTATATGGATTATTGCTGATTCAGTTTAAAGGAACACTTTTGAGCCGAATGCTCTCTAGCATTTTAGCAACATCATTTATTTCCAGACTCTAATACAGTTACATGAAAATGACAATGTGATAAATGCTTTTTTATTTCGCAACTATGATGATAAACGAGGACAATAATCTGTAATCCTGTGTGCAAGGCAGGTGAGGGTAAGCACTACATCTAATGTCACTGCTCTGTGTTCTAGCACAGATGTATTTAGATTATCTCACATATTTTCTCTCATAAAATTCAAGTTTTTAAAGTTGTCTTTTTATGTAACATTATGATAATATTTAGGATTCCTTAATTTGGTACGGTTAAGTGTGATGCAAGGATTTGAGAACTATTAATCTGTGCAGCAGAAATATTTTCCTTCTTCTTCCACATCGCATTATTCATCTTGAAAATACTTTATTTATTTTGAAAACCCCTTAGGGGGGCATGGCCTGCAGGTTAGGAGCCGGAACAGTAGTGGCAGTAATAGTGATGTTTCAAACATTTATTTTTGATTCATTACTCAAAGTCAAGTTGACCCATTGCAACCTGTAAAATGAAAATAAAATGTTGCTTGCTGGCATAAGAAAATGTTTATAGTTCCGTGCACTGGCTACAGCTGTTGTTTAGATTCACCAATGGGTTATTTTCCACTTTCTTTTCTGTGGAGGTTATGAAAATTAAGGTAATTCCCGAAATAAATTAAAATATCAGATCCTATATCAAACTCTTCACCTGCTAATACACGTCCCATTGAATATTGAATTAAATCCTCCCCACACATTAAATGCACTCCAGCTGGTGCTCTGTAATTGAAGCAGCCCGTCACCTACTGAACCCCCCTCCCCCCCCTCCCACAGCCATGTCTCTCCAAAGTGGAGTAATTAGCAGCCGAACCTGCGTGCCACTGACATTTGGCTCTGATAGGATTACACCACCAACGGGCGTTCAATCAGACGGACGGGTACGGTAGCTGCTGTGAAGCACATCTTAATTTGTCATAGTAGGAAACAAACATGAATCACTTGTAAAATGTGATGTGTCACACTTGTCATGACCGACTTGGAGACTTGAACAGAACAGAGCCAACATGCATAAAAAGGACAGGAAAAAGTTAAAGTTTTAAGAAATAGTATTGTCAAGATAAATCTGTTTAATGACAGTTAAAAACAATTGCAAATATTCAAATATTTCAAGGGTCCTTTCAAAAATACAATTATTTTATATATGATTAAAATAATAAAGAAATTAGCCTAATATCCATAAAGCAGAATTCACAGCCATGCTCCCAGGCGTGCACACCATAGTTATCCTTAAAGTGCAATTATCTCGGTATCATGATGTATAAAATGAACGTTTAGTCTCTTGGTTACAATCCTGCATATGCTTAAAAATTGTATTTGAACAGATACAAGTTTTTCTTTGTGTTTTTTAATCAACGTTCCCCCGACACAACTTTATTATAAACGTGAGAAATATGGTTTGCAATCTGTGGATTCATTATAATGTGTGTTCACCTGCAATTTAGTGAAATATTAATAATTGTTTGCGCAAAAATGTGTTTGTCAGTAAAACTTAGGCAATAAAGATAACTGTGACATCCGTTAGTAATAACATTTCTGTATGATCTCCTGTCTTGTGTTCGCAGTACAAGCCTGTGGCATTCGCAGTACGTTGCAACTTCTCTTACACGCCAGCAGACGACGACAACGCTCCCGTACCGGGCCATGCCGTCACCTTCGAGGCCAGAGAATTCCTCCATGTCAAAGAGGTTTGAGACACATACACAGCATGATCTGTTCACATAAAGATGGGAGGTAATGGAGACAAAGAATGCAAAAACTACAATGTTGAATGCATTTCTTAACATAAACAAAGGACAAATAAACAAAAGCCAGGCTTTAAATTCTCATTATTGTTTGTCTTTTTAATGATCAGAAGTTTAACAACGAGTGGTGGATCGGCCGGCCGGTGAAGGAGGATGGTGTGGTGGGCTTCATCCCCAGTCCAGTCAACCTGGAGACCATCCTCATCAGAAGAGAAGTCCAAGCGAGAAAAGCTGCAAAGGCCTTAGCCAAGTATGTTATACTTGTTTCAATACAAGAAAAACCAGCACACAAGCCCATGCTGCCGTGTGCTGATTTATCTTGTAATCCTTATTATAATCTTTATTGGCCCAGCACACAAGAGATACACAGAGGATCACAAGACATTCCCTTGTATGGTGTTCGGGTCTGTGGGACTCGATTTCATTATTTAGCTAAAGAAAAATGATAGGATAAATTATTTTTTCAAACTCACACTCAATGGCCTTGGCTCATTTTCTGTGAAGAACATACTTTATATCAGAACACATTTTCAATGACTGCAGCTTGTGATTAAATGCATTTGAATGTAACAAAGATATCTTAAACATCTTTTATCTTGCAGCTTAATCCACTGACAAGGCATTATCGCTACAAGCCATAAATAACCTGTCAGTCTTCTCACTCCCCTACACAGCACACGTGTTCATGTGCATGCGCTCTCACACATATACACATCTGACCCTAAGCTTCTTACTACCAAAGTGTGTGTATGTGTGAGACTTTTGTGTTACTACCCCTGCCATTCCCGCACAAGGTTGCAACATTGTTGATAAATTCAAGCACTGACACCTGTCTGCTCTCACATTCCCGCATTATGTCTTGCGGGAACCAATCTTTATTTTTTTCTACATTCTATCCAAGCTGCAAATTTGGGGCGGGACACAAGAAATAAAGCTTCGCCAGTTTGGGTCCTTATCACAACTGATCAAGATGGCCAAAAGATTCTCTGCTCAGAGGGCCTTGCAAATGATTTTGGAAGAGAGAGAACCATTTGATGATGATGTGGAGGAAGAGGAAGATGTTTCAGAATGTGAGGATCCCATTTCTGAGAATTCTGAGTCTGACAGTGACTTTGAAGAAGATAATGAGATCGAGCATCAGCTAGTTACAAAAAAAAGACGAGCCACAGGACCAGCCAGTCAGCGGGCAAAAAAACAAGTAGCACTTTAATTCATTAATGTGATCTAACAAATGTAAAAGGGAAAATATTAACCATATATGCTGTTTATAGTATATTGCTTCTAATTGGGATGAAGTGAACATCTGTTGAGTATTTTTCACATAAAATAGTTTGATTGTGTTGAATTGAAGCCCAAAAAGGCAGCGGGTCCACGAACACTGGCTGAGTAACACAAATATCAACACACCATACAAGGGTTAAAACTTCTGTTGATGATCTTTGTTATTATAGTTATTCAGCAATAAGTGCAACTAACCAATCAGAGCAGACTGGGCTCTGGTTTCAGACAGAGGGTGAAAAGAGGTGCTGCAGCACAGACAGTATGAGGAAAATTAACACTTTTTGAACATTAAAGCACGTAAACATGTCCCAGTAGAGGTACAAAATAAAAATATGAAGCTGAAAATGAGCATTAGGGACTAAAACGACATCAAGGTGTTTTCACTTCGTTAAAACAGTAGGCTGTTTTCACTCTGATCAGACTCACTACCAGCTGAAAGATGTTGACTTGACCCAGTTAGGGTGAAACTCATTTAGAGGATCGTGGATATTTTGCTTCGGTAGCAACTATGCGTGCTGTATCACTTCAAGGGATTCACCCTCAAATAATTTCATCGCGTATGCACACATTTCTTTATTGCCAAGATAAAGACTGCTCTTTCTTTACCAAGAAATAAACATAAAGGTTTTGACTCTAAATAAGAAGGCCTTGTTTTTCTCTGTCTTTAGTGAGAGACATCTGAGCTTATTCAAAACTTTTCTTATTCCAGCAAAGCAGCGTCTCAAGTTGCTCAAGATTTGAACTCAAAAAAATATACACCTCCATCACAAGGTCAGTGCTTTTGTGAAATAAAATGAAAACTATTAATAATTGTTTATTTTTGATGATAGGTGAATTAATATTAAATAACTCTCTTATGCTTTACATCAACAGCCAATCAGCAGGTGAAAAAGAAACCGGTAAGTGATTCTGCTGACATCAAACACGCAGAAGAACATTCACATCTGAATATGAACAGCTTTTCATTTATAAAGAGTGTTATGAAACAATTGGGGGGGGAAAAATATTGATCCTATGTTTGCAACAGCAGCATCCCACCTTCTGAATAACGGCTGATTAACAGTTCTCCAGTTTTTACTAACATTAACACGTTGGGTTTTTTTATTACAAGAAGTAATATGTTTATATATGCAAATGTGGAAATGTTTGTTCTTGTGTCAATAAATTAAAGCTTTTCACACGGGGATTTATATATACTTGTATCACTTGGAAAATCAAAAAAATACTCTCTTAACTGTGTTAAAATTAAATAAATGTTTGCCATGAATTAAAAGCTGTGTAAATGGGCTATGTACTGTACTGTACATGAACGAGATTGTATGGCTCAGAGTATAAGAGAAAAACATGTTTTTCAGAGGACAGCCTTTAAAGAAAGTTAACGCACAGTTACCTACATTTGGGAAAACTGGTTAAACAAACCAACATGAAAAAGTAGAAAAGTCATATTTAAATCTGCAAATAGGTAGTACCCGAAGCAAATTGTTGATGAATTTAAGAGTCTGCCTACACAAATTGACAAACTGTAGTCAAAAAACATACACTCTTTCATTAGTGTATGTAAAATTGCCCAAGATTCTCAAAATTGACCAGTGTGTGTGTTTCTTTGTGCTCACAGGGGGAGCAGATTGCTATGTATGATGTAGTGCCTACAATGCGTCCTGTGGTTTTAATGGGGCCGTCACTGAAGGGCTTAGAGGTGAGTCCGGCTCATACACTGTCATCTTAGCACTTAATAGGATACCTTTGAAATGTGAAGAGTACAAAATGTTGTTGAGCTGACACACCTTATTGTTCGTCATACAAATATTGACACTTGTATTGTACTTGAGAAATGTTACTTGAAATCCTTGTGTCCTGTGTAATTCCAGGTTACAGATATGATGCAAAAAGCACTATTTGACTTTTTAAAGCATCGATTTGAAGGCAGGTAAGTTATTTAATTCTTCAGTGTCACACCTTCCATGCTGATATAAAACAGGATGAAAATCACAACTGTGTAAAAATCCCTGTTTCTCTGTCTCCAGAATTACTATTACACGAGTCACCGCAGACATCTCTCTGGCTAAAAGGTCCATCCTCAACAACCCGGGAAAAAAGGCCTTAATGGACCGGTCAAACACCCGCTCTAATTTAGGTACACATCTTTCACTCTTTTCTTTATCACATTTTAAGATTGCAATTTCTGTTCACAATCATTATTTAATATACGGTACATAGATGATCCTTTATTCAACGGGATTATGTAACACGGCAAAGATGCTCATTTGCTTTCCTGCCGAGCCTTAAGCCTGAATGTGCAGATTGAAACCATGCGCATGCACCCGTTTCAAATGTTATCGGGCCATTAAGTTAAAATAACTTACATTTTGGAGTGGGGAAAAGTCCTCTGTTTCTTTAACTCATCCATCCATCTATGCATCCTCCCTACCCTATATGGAATTAATCGATCTTTACATATTTCACCAAAAACCCTCCTTTTGGCCGGTCATAATAACAATTCCCGCTAGGAGTCACTGTGTTCTTTTCTTCCTATCTGTGAGCAACCATTTGGATCAGGGGTGTCAAACTCAATTTCATCGCGGGCCACATTCGCATAAAGGTTGCACTCAAAGGGCCGGTTGTAACTATATAAATATAATATATATATATAAAATAATGTATTATATTACATTATTGCCTCTGAATTGGATTATTATCGGATAGGATAATAACTTAGTAATTAACTACGTCTGAAAGCAGAAGTCCAGGGTAAATAATTGCAAGTCTCTTCAGGGCGCATGTCACAAAACTAGATGCATTGTGGGACATGTAGTTTATGGGCAACCTGCTTCTGTAAAGTGGCATGTAACCGTATAATAAACGTATTATATTCTTTGCAAGCTCTTGCAGGGCCACATAAAATGAAGTCGCGGGCCGGATTTGGCCCCCAGGCCTTGAGTTTGAGACCCCTGATTTGGATAGATGATTATGGAGCACCCATATCTAGGACAATGAAACCACTGATTACAGCCTTTATTTGGCTGATATCATTTGAAGCGGGTGTCTCATGTTTGTATGGCAAAAATAAATGTGCAGTCCTCAGCAGGATTGGTTAGCTTAGCAAAACAGACTGGAAACAAGGGATTGTAATAAACCTGGTTTTTACCGAGCTGCTGCTGGCCACGCCCCTCTGGAGCGTCCTCATGATATGTGAGCTCTGTGAAGAGAAGGCTGACAACCGGCAGAAACTCAGCTAAATGCTGCCGTGATTAAACTCCATATTATGTTCCAAACCACATCAAGCATTATTTCTGAAACAGTATGGAGCTGAAACGCTTTCTCTCACACGGGTTTACCACAAGGACAGTACCTTTTTATATTCGGCTTCTTTACACATATTCTCTCCGGAGTGTTAGCGATGCTTGCTAATGTAAACACAGACCATATTACTTCCAAAACACGTCGCGCATTGTTGCTGATATAGCACATAGCATAACATATGTTTACCGCTAGAACAGGGCCATTGTATGTATTATATATATATATATAAACAACTTTACTCTAAGTCCTGTAGACATCCTGCTGAATACACAGACACACAGCTGCGGGAGGGGATTCAGCTAGCCCACTGTATATGGGAAATAGGTTTGGACGTGGGCTGGACGTTGCCAAGAGTTCAATTTAAAGCCAGCCCACATTTCAGTAATGACGTCAAGTCCGCAGCAAATCTATATCAGCTCCGTTGTATCCCCGTTTGTAGAGATGTGGGTAAGCAGGAAAAAAGAGAGGCTTGTATTTTCATGTCAACCCAAATATTTATGTATAAAAGACATCAAAAAGTGCAATAATAGGTGACCTTTAAGCATCAGATTAGGAAAACAAGTTGTCTCCTGAACTTTTTATGAGTATTTGCTGTTTTGGCCCCACTGACTCTGTGCAGTGGTCAGTCTCCCTTGATTACAAACCGAAAGGAGGATAAGATTTACTTGGTTTTCTCTACTTTTCTCTTTCTCATCGCTCTCTCATCCCAGATGCTGCCGGTATGTATGACTGAAAGCACTGGTAGTCCACATCTGTTTGTTTGAATACTCCACCTTCCTTTCATTACCTCATCAGCACTTTGTTCACACACTGTTCACAGGGCACTTAAAGGACTCCTCATGTTGGCCTCAGCGGTAGACTTTGTGATTTGATTAGCTGCTAGAGACTTGTGGGTCTTGTTTGTCAACTACTATTTTTTTACAATAAATGTTCAATCTTAGCATATAACTTGATAATGAATTGTTTTGGGTTTAACCTTCAACATTTAAGATTTTAGATATCCTCATTACTGCATCTTTACAATATAAAATAGAGAACCAAAAATAAATCTCCACATACGTGCTTCTGCAGTAAATATTTATTTTATCATTCAAGATTACACACAATGGTATAATGTGGATGCATAAGAACAATTTAAATATATGGTTCAATGATAGGAAAATATCTTCTGTAGGCCTACAGTACTTTCATGAGCTAATGCAAAGAGGAGCTTAATCAGAGCAATCACTGGGCATGGATCTAACAGAAAAGGAAATAAATATTAAAGAATGGTAAAGAGACACAAAGTAAGATAATAAGATTACAATAATTAATTATAAGTGGGCAGTTTACACAGATAATCCATAAGTATAATATTGCAGACATAAATATCAAACCGTTAACAGCTTTCTTTAATTGTACAAATGAACACATTTTAAAGTATGAGATGGCAGATTATTCAATTTCACTGAACTTCTGTAAATTAAGCCACTCTGTAATTGAGATGTTCAACATAGCCTGAGTTTTTTGTTATATGTTGTAGAATAATTGGTAATTCAATTATTTTAGGTACACTGTTTATGATAAAGGTTAAAATTGAAATTAAATGTGTGCGATTGATGGATTTCCTGGACCTCAGGTGTCAAAGTCGTGCCTTTTCTCTCTGCTTTTGCAGCTCAGATCCAGGGGGAGGTGGAGCGTATCTTTGAGCTCGCCCGCAGCCTGCAGCTGGTGATTCTAGATGCAGACACAATCAACCACCCGCTCCAGGTGGCCAAGACTTCCCTAGCACCGATCCTTATCTATGTCAAGATCTCCTCACCAAAGGTAAGCTTCACCAGAGACCTGCCCTTTCTTTTAGACCAACTGTTCCTCATCCAACACATTTCAGTAAAATGTCAACCGTAAGCGTTTTTCTTTCCTTTTGGGCTTAATTTCTCTCCTCTTCCTCTTCACTGCAGGTGTTGACAAGACTGATCAAGACAAGAGGGAAGTCACAGACGAAGCATCTCAATGTTCAGATGGTGGCAGCAGACAAGCTCGCCCAGTGCCCGTCGGTGAGTGCCATCTAGTGGCCAGTGTGTTAAATGTCTTGGATTCTGTTAAGTAATACTAGTTTTTAGTATTGACTGGGTGAAAGATGGATTGTTATCAAGTAATTTAATGATGTTAGTCTTTTCAGTTGTTACACAGAACTATGCATTGCTGCATTAGGCTTTGTTTCTATAGTTGAAGTTGTTAAATTGATAACATCTGACCAGAAATTAGATGAAAACAGAGATTAAACTGAAAATACAATTTTGGTGGTTACATGGCTACCTTTTAGAACAGTGACGACCAACTGTTCTGACATTTAAGGGGGTTTTACATCTTGGTGGGAATTTATGGGAATTTAGTATGTATGATGATGATGGGAAATTATTCAACAGCTAATAGAATGATAACATATGAAAAAACAATGTTTTGAATTAATGTTGTAGACTACATAATCTAGAGATAAGCTTATTTAATTCATCTTATCATCAAAATGTCATTGGAAGACCTAATCACAGACGTATGTGGAAATCAGACTGTGTTATTTTTAAAGCCTTGCCCGATTTCTGCTATGATGGTATTGATGGTATTATAAATTATACATAAAAAGTGTTTCAGGGTAGTGTTTCCTACAGTTCCAATTTTTTCTTTCCTGCAGGAAATGTTTGACGTCATCTTGGATGAGAACCAGCTGACTGATGCCTGTGAGCATGTTGCTGATTATCTGGAGTCTTACTGGAGAGCCACTCATCCTCCAGAGATGGAGCCGGCCAACGCTCTGGTGTCCCAGCTGGTCGAGAGCACACTGCCCACTAGTCCTTCAGCAGTACCCGCGGTACATGAAACACACACATACAAACATATAGCAAACAACTACGCAAAGAAGTTACAACGTGTAAAATCCTTTGCAAAGATTTCATACTGTCCTCTCATCCCACTCATCCCATCCGTGCAGACAATCTGCTGAATGTGAGGAAACTGTTTGCATAGTAAATGATGAGCTCAGCAGGAATGTTACTTTATCTAGACTCCACAGTGTGCTGCATCTGCATTTGTTTTCATCTAACATTTTCATTTCATTTCTCCTCATACTTTTCCACTGGAAAGGTGAAGAAATGATATAGGTCTACCTCCGGTGAGTGAGATACCCTCAAATTCTGCTGTAGCTGAGTCTTTACCGTAGTTAAGGAGATGAGTAGCATCTTTACAAGTTAGCTTAAAATTATGTGTATTTGTTCAATAAAGATGAACACACAGTTCTGGTGTTAGCTTCCCTTTAGGCTAGCGTTCCCTGTTCACCCTCTCCTGTGAAAAACTATCCACCACCTTATTAAATCCACAGATCTGACCAGAGTGCGCTAGATACAATTTGCTAATTCTGCACACTAAGCTGAAAGTAACATCTCCATTAAATGACATTGAATAATGTTCCCCTATTTCTTTTGATATTTATGATGTAAAAGTAACACTTTTAATTTTTTCTCTTTAAAAACTCTCAGGCATTATAGTTTGTTTTCTGCTTACAGCTTGAATGAACATTACACAACGATATTTTCCCCAGACACCTTGAGATTATAATCAAATGCTGAAACCATGGTTACAATTTTAGTCACATTACAACAGCTTTGCTACTGGGTTAGTAGAACAGATGCAGAGAAGCCTGAGGAAGCAAATGTGTCTGTTCCCATGAGTAAGTACCAAAGTGGAGCAAAATCCCATAATCAGAATTATCATCCAAAAGTATCCAAATTGGCTCTGCTGTGATACAGTCTATTATGTGATTGTCAAAGTAGGCGCTTTAGGGCCAGCTGCTTCCCAAACTGCAGATGTTTGTGTTTGGACATATTTTCTGTGTTTGAAATCGCATCCTTATTTATACTTAGTAAAAACGAATACTGGAAAATACCAGAAAATATTTAAGTGGAAGAGGCAATGTTGATTCAAATGTATGATAAACTATTCTAATTCAACAGTAGCTCTTACTGGCAATGGCTATTACTGTAATTGTATACTCATACAGACACGTATGTACAGTAGTATGAAACACGTTAGAATGTGATTTTAAACACAGGCATTGTGTTTGGCGAGTATTTTTTTGAGTATATCTAGATTACTTCATAAGTGCTATATGCACGTATGTGACATATCATTGCATTTTCTTGTTGCAGGATGGGCACAAAAACAAGAAGGCAGCTGCCGCCAAGAGGAAAGGTTCCCGTGAGAACCATCTAGACCAGGAGCAACCCTCAGCCCCAGCCCAGGAGCAGAAAGCTGAGGAAGGCCAAAGAGAGGAGGAAGAGCGGCTTCTGAGGAATGAACCAAAGAGACCCCAGCACACCCACCGCCATCACAACCACCACCACCGCCGGATAGAGCATCACAGCCACGGCCAGCACAACCAAACATCCAGTGGGACTGAAGTACGGGCAAGCAGGGAGTACAGCCAGAGGCCTCCCCGAAGGCACCTGCCCGTGGAGAGGGAGGAGGAAGCGGAGGATGTGGTGGAGGAGGACAAGGAGGCAACGCGCTATAATCACAGAGGCCATAACCACCACCATCACAACAGCAACCACCATCACCACTCACAACAACCACACCGTGGAAACAGCGAGCCACGTGTCAGAGAAGACTATGAGCAGGAGCACAATGAACGCAACCGTCAGCACAGGCGTCACCAGGATATTTCCCACCGGACACAACACACAGATCACTATCCTGCACACAATCATCACAACCACCACGGCAAAGACAGAGACATGGACAGAGATAGAGACAGAGATAGAGATAGAGACAGAGAAAGACACAAGGACAGGGAGAGAGACAGAGACAGAGATAGGGATGGTGGTAGAGATAGAGACAGAGAGGCACGGCAATTTCACAGAGACTCCTATATACACTAGTGACTGTTGTTTCTCCTGTGGCTTGGTGCATGGTTTTATGCTGCTCAAGTTATGATGCACTATAATGGCCTGGGCAGGGTGTTCTTCTTCATATCGTTTGACATTTTAAATTGTTCTTATTTTTACCCTCTGCCACTCACTCACATATTTTGTCCTTCTTTATTTTTTCTATAGCAAAATTCATACTGTCACTCGGTTTTGCCTGTCTTAATGTCATCTTATTCATATGGCGCTATCTCTGTGTATTTAAGCACAAACATTTGACAAGATAAATGTAAAGGTCCTGCAACATTTTCCAATGTTCACGCAAAAAGCCAAGAATAATCAAGGTTGCAGTAATTTTATTGTATCCATTATGTCAAGATCACAAGTAAATGTTCTTGTTATCTTGGGCTTGTTTTAAAGTGATAACACAATAAATACACTTGAGTTTCTATTAGTTACACCAAACTAAAATTAATACAATCTAATATACAAGTCCTGCAATAAATCCAACTTTGATGAGGTCATATAGTTCAGTGTGTATTAAACAGGGATACAAATTTACTTTTCACAAGTTTACCTAGCCAAAATGACATTATCTGGTGTTCACCTCTCAAAAGTAGATATGAGAAGATGTTACCTTGGCATCTGACAAATTGTGATGTCGATATTTGACACTAAATTGTTAATGGATAGATCAATAGATAGAACAATAGATCAAAAGTGAGCGGCAGATTCGTCCAATCTGAAAAAAAGCTATCGGGAGAAAACATCTCTTTAAGTACAGTAACTTGTGATTTGAGATGAACAGGAAGAAATTATGGAAATTAATCAATAAGTGTTCTCGCTTCTGTACACTGAACACATTTATAACTGTTGTTTCTATAAACTAATTCAAAGAGAAGCTTTGTTGTAGCCGAGGGTTCGAAAACTCTAGGAAACAACAGACTTTTGGTGTCACATCTCATTCTGTCTCCATGTGTTACAATCTGTGTATCTTCCAAAAACAACAATTCATTGTACACATTGGGAAGGAAACTCAAACTATTTTGTTATATGATATTAAAGGGAAGTCTTACTTTGCTTCCTACTTTTCTAAATGTTGTTCAAGCTTATTTATTGACTTGTATTTGCGCTGTGTGGAAGCATGACATATCTTTAGGTGACACTGACCTGCTATATGCTGGATACTCTATGCATCTTCTTGTGATAAAATATATTGCTTGAATACAACCTCTATGCATTTGTAAATACTTCATAATTGCCTTGTTAGGTAAATATAAGGAGAACCAGACAGCCTGTTGCACTGTTTGATAGAACTTGACCTACTGTGAATGATTGCTCTAGACTGAAGTGGCTCTGATCCTTTAACTTTTTTTGTTTTCATTATGTTTGTTTTGTACAGCATTCAGATATATGCATATGCAAATATGCATTCCATTGTTGAAAACCATTAAAATATAAACCAAAACATGTGGTTATTGACATGTTATTGTAGGACGTCAGCACTTGCCAAATTGATAACATTGTTGCTAATTGAAATTACTTTATATAAACTAGCTTGCGAATTTTCCTCTGAGGATTAATAAAGCCCTAATCTGTAAATAATAATGGTTTATTTTTTGATCATTTATTATTAATCTGAAAGGGAGTAGAAGTTAAGTACACACACCAATAGTAGAAAGTACAAAAGTATAATCTAGTCAGTTGTCTGTAAATACCTATTTTTTAGAATTCTGAAATTACAATGTGTTATTATTTCTTTGAATTCAGAAAAATAGAGCAATTTCTCTCACTTTTCATTAGGATTAGGCCTATGCACCTTTCACCAATGAGTGTAAACCATACAGTGTACAGTACATTCTTTGTATTTAGGTAAAATACCCTGCTGTCTGTGTCCAATGTACACAAGAAAAAAAATATTTCCCAAAAGGTCAATTTGCTGAATATAAAGTCAAGGAAATTAATCTTAATTTTTATTTCGTTCTCATGGCAACGTCTTCCCAATTTCTCAATGTTTTCTTAAAAGTGTGAAACAGCGCTAGGATTAATGGATGGTTAATGTAATCTAGAATTTCTCGTACATGTGGAGAGACAAGAGAGATGGGTCCTCACCTCCTCTAGGGGGGTCCGGGGGCATGCTCCCCCTGGAAGATCTTTTTTTAAATATTGAAGTTAAATTCATCAACCTGGTGCATTTTGAGAGCAAAATGAATTTATGGATACATCTCTCTACACCCAGATGAAACTGAACTGTAAACAGATTTTCTTTTTCTTTATGGATATTTTACAAATCACTCACCTTTTAAACGTTATTCTTGTTTTACTGTCATATAGTATTTCATAATTGTTTTTCATTTATTCTCATAAATGGTGACCAAAACGTTTGAGACCCACTGAGATAACTTGACTAAAGTTAACGATCTAAACAGAGAGTCCCTTACCTCACTGAGCTGTAGTTATCTCTCAGTCTGACAGCAGAGAGCTCTACTCTCCTTGTTTTAGAAACAGCTTCTAACATCCGTTAGCGCAGCTAGCTAACCAGATGCTAACAACAACAACAATGCAAATAGTGAATTTGGTAGAAACATACTGTATAATAGTAAAGTTATTCAAGATAATGCCATATTTATTGAATATTTTACATTATCCTATAAATATTCCCCCAAATTGTTCAAAAGCATATTCTTCCAAACTCCTTGCTGTAGTAAGACACACAGGAGACTATTGATGTGTGTAGTGAGTTTGGTAGTAATATACTGTATGATAGTGAATATTATTGTATTTTCTTTTTTCGGAGATACACTTTGCAGACGGTCCCTGAGCACTCGTTTCTTCTCCGGCCGCGGATAGAGACCAATGTAATAAAGAACCGCAGTGCCGCGTCGTAAAACCCGGAAGTAAACTTCTTCCGGTTCCTTCGTGAAAAACCAATGCAAATTCTCCATAGGATTTGGGAAAATAGCTCGAAATAAGATCTGTGGTTGACACACATTTAAGAGAGGGATCACGTTTTGTTCAGCCGGATAATCTCCAACTGTCAACCCTACTTTTATA